GCCCTCTGCTTTGCAGAATGGAGGCTGCCTCTGTCCGTGAATTGGGAATAAAAGCCAGTTAGATCTGTAACTAAGTTTCTTGTCACCTTGGCTTTTGATAGCCCTAACCTGGATTTTCACAAGGTCTCCCAAAGCTCTGGGCAGCACCGCTCCCGTCCGTGAGGTCCTTAGGGAGCTGGGGGCCGAGCCAGCCCCAGCCCCACCCCACGGAGAGGCTGCGGGCCCTGGCCACAGCTCTCTGCCCCCTGCCACCTCCCTCTGATAAGCCCCTCCTGGGGTGGGGCAGGTCCGGCAAGCCCCTCCTTTCCTGGACGCTGACAAAGTCCATGACCGAGGAGGACTCTCCCAGGGTCATTCGCTGCCGTGTCCCCGCACCTGCGCGGGGCATGCACGGTGGTGCCCAGGAAATAGCTGTTGCCTGAAGGGACACTTGGCCCCTTCGGGATGGGAAGCACCCTCCTTCCTGGGGCAGCTGGTCCCTCAGCTCCCTCAGGAACACCCGGAACCCCAGCAAGAGGAGGCCACGGCAGCCCAGCTCGGACAAAGTGAGGGTGCTGCCAGCCGTGGGCCCCCCCAGCCTCTCCTGGCCTTCTCCTTTCCCTTCCTCACCGGGGGGCAGATGAGCCCAGTGAGGACAAGGCCGCCTGTGTGTGCAGCTGCGCGCGGCCAGCCCTGCCCCTGTGGCCGGCGACCCGGGGTGGCTGAGCGGGATCCCGCCCTGACTGCTGGCCCGCTACAGCCCAGCCTCCCCGGAGTACTGTACCTGAGGCCCCGCCAAGCCGTCCTTCCTCCTGGCCGTCCCGCTCTGCCCGGGCGCCCTGCTGCTACGAAATGCCCAGCGCTGGGCCGGCCCTGGGGCGGGGCTCCCTGGCCTGGTTCCTGACTTGGCTCTGGGCTGGCTGGAGGCTGCACTGCCTCCCTCAGGCACCTCTAGAGCCTCTCCGGGGCTGCAGAGAAGGAGCCGGGCGGAGAGGGCCCGCACCGGGCCAGAGCACGCGCGCGTTTCAGCTCGGAGCCGAGGGGCCCGGCCCAGGGAGAAAGAGAGCCGGGCAGTGGCTGCAGGAATCGTGGTGTGGGGTGGGGCCCAGCTGCCTGGGATAGCACGGAAGCCTCTGTCCCCCATCCCTTGAGGCCTCCCCCACCTCAGCCTCAACTTCCCCATCTGCAAAATCAAAAGGTCACACCCAAAGATGGCTGGAGTCCAGAAATACAATCTCAGGGGCCATGCCTGCTGCCTGCTCTGTTTCCCAGCCCCCGTGTATCTGTCCCTCAACACCACCCATGGACCACCCCATTCACGGAGCCTGTCACCCCCAAAACCTGACAGTTTGCAAATGAGGAACGGGGGATGGCCACATGGGGCGTGAGTGGCAGGAATTCTCACTCCAGAGCTGGGGCTGCATCCATCCCAGATGTCCCCTCTCCCTCCTGGGGACGAGTGCTGCCCTCCACCCTCTAGGACTTTGGTCATGATGCTAAGCATCACCACGGTGGCTCCTGTGGTCCCAATCTGTCTCGGGTGCCAGAGCTGTGCCAGGGGGTCTGTCCCCTGCCTTGGCCCCGGCCCACCCCTGCCGGAGCCAGCACAAACGGGGATGGTGCCCAAGCAGCTGCTGGTGTCAGACAGGCAGGTGATTGGGTTACAGGTGTGGGGGAAGGAACATCCTTTGTGCCACTTCCTGGGCCCACTGCCACCGCAAGCTCCCTGCGCGCTGCTGCCCTGGGTCCGCCTGGGCTCCTGGCCCCGGGGCCTCTGGGCCGACCTGGCACCTGGGAGGTGCCCATCACTGCCACCTCCTTCCCGGCTCCCCCGCCTACCTGGGAGGGCAGAGAGGTCCCCTGGTCCACACTCACTCTGGTAGCCTCTGGATTTCGCTAGTTAGGGTGGGGGTAAGGGGCTGCCGAGGCCCCCAGTCCTCTGTGTGGGATGGAGCCCCCGGCCGCCGTCAGTCACGTGGCTCAGCATGTGACAGCCCTGCCCTGCTGCTCTCTGGAGCTGAGCCAGGCAGGAGCGACAGCAGAGCGGGTGCCAGGCAGGGCTGCGCCAGGGCTGAGCCTGCAGCTCTCAGCCAGGAAGGAGGCCCAGAGAGGGGCAGCCACTGGTCTAAGGCCACACAGCAAATCAGGGACCCAGGTGGGGAGGTTCTGGTGGGTGGGAAGGGTGTTATAGGATCCTGAGCAGTGGGAGGGCTGTCGGGAGACCTCCTCCTACAGGGTCTGAACTTGTCATGAATTCAGGGAGGAGGCCCCCAAAGAGGCCTGTCCTCCTGGGATGGGGTCCTCGCCTCCCCTAGTCCAGGAGGCCACACACCTCAGAGGCGACAGGGGCTGGACACTCCCCTCTCTGGGTTGGGCTCAGTGGGGCCTTGGAGTTATGTCCTTGTTGAGGAGAGCCCAGGATAAATGGGGGGCCCTCTGGGAGGGGCGCCACCAGGAGCTACTCTTAGAGCCAGCTCTGGTGGGGAGGGGGCTCCGCTGAGGCTCCAGGCCCAGCCAGGTGGGGCAGGGAGAGGGGAGCACAGAGGGGCTGAAGTTCCTGATGTGGCCAAGTTCACGGCTCTGGGTCAGACCAAGCAAGTGCTTCACCTCTTTGGGCCTGGGTGTTCTCATGTGACAATGGGGCGACGGTTGGGGGTTGTCGATGGGTAAATGAGATGACGCAGTAAGCACTTAGCTTGGTACCTGGCACAGAGGCGGTTAGGTGAGAGGCCTGGGTTCATATCCTGGTCCTGTCACTTATCTGTGTGACCTCAGGTTAGTGTCATAACCTCTCTGTGCCTCTGTATTCCCATCTATAAAATGGGATACGCAATAGTAAAACACACCCAGGCGATTGTAAGGGTGAAATACGTCAATCCGTGTCCGTGGGCCTGTACTTGTTACCACTCCAAGTGCCCCTGTCCCCCTCTGAAGGAGTCTGACGAGAGCCACCATCCAGGCTGCAGGACAGGAGGGTGGCCCAGTCCCCTGCTGGTGCCAATACCTGCCCTCCAGACCCCCTCAGCCCCTGCATCCTCTGCCAGGGCCCCGGCTTTGGGCTTCCCACTGCTCCCCGCCTTCTGCTCCTGTCCCGAGGCTACAGAGGAGCGCTGAGGCCCAGAGAGGGGCTGGGACCGCCCAGGTCAGCTGTTGCCCGTTGGCTCAGGGCTTCTCTCTGCCTCTACCAGGGCCTGAGAGCCCCTCTCCCTGGGCTGGGCCCGTCGTGGGAGGAGGGGCCAGGCCCTGCTGCCAGCGCCACCTCTGGGGCTTAGTTTGGAGGAGCTGACATTGTTTCTACCTTTGGCCTCCATCCCCGGGGCAGAGGGGCAGGGGGGGTGGGCTGCGCATAGGCCATGGCAGTGGGTGGATGCATTCATTCATTCATTCATTCCCTCCGGTCTCAGACACCTGCTGAGCCTGGCTCACAGGGCCTCAGACCTGCCTAAGAGCATCTCACTGCCTCGCCTGCCGACAGGCTCCTCAGCTCACCTGCTAAGTGACCTTGAGCAAGTCTCGTCCCATGGCTGAGCCTCAGTTTCCTCACCTGTAAAATGGTGTTGATTCCACCTGCCTGACAGGGCTGCTGTGAAGGTCAAACACGAGCACATCTAGAAGGCACCTGAGACGGCACCTGGTACACAGTAGGTGCTCAACATGTGTGAACGCCTCCTGCACCTGTCCCTGCCCTCCTGAGGGAGTGGCTGCCCCAGGCCTTGTCCCCAGGCCCTGGCCCTGCCTTCCCTCCCCTCCTCGCTGGCCTTGAAGGCTAGACCCACCCTGGCGCTAAGGAGCAGGGCCCCCAGAGGCCAGCGTGACCCCTGCTAGGGTGCAAAGGTAGAGGCCACAGGGGCCCAGTGCCCAGGACGCAGTCGGCGCTCAATGAGCAGTAGAGATTGCCAGTCACTCATTCATTTGCTCACTCAGCAAACCTTTACTAAGCGCCGACTGTGTGCCAGACGCTTCACACAATTCTCATATGTGCTCAGACATTATTGTCTGTGCTTTACAGCTGAGACGACAGAGAGTATAGTGACCTGGCCAGAGCCACCCAGAGAGGACACATGGGGATTCAAACCCGGCCAGGCCTGAGTCCCCGGCCCATGATGTTTCCAGGGTACTCTTCACATAGGAGTCAGGCTGGGGTCCTTGGCGCTGGGCGAGCCCTGCTCCCCTGACTCCTGGGAGCCTCGTGTCAGCTGAAAACAGCAGCCACCGTTTCCTGGACATTTGCTGGCCAGACACTGGGTAGGGTCCTTGGCACACCTCAGCTTGGGGACTTCCCAACACCCTGTGAACCAGACTCAACTCAGACCAGGAGGAACAGAGGGGAGAGGGGAACTGGATAGTTTCTACTTTTTTTGGGGTTTTGTTTTCTTTTAGCTAGCCAGCTTTTGCAACCCAGTTTTCTGGATATTTAAAAAAGCGTCCCAGGTGGTTCCAGCCACGGGGACAGCCAGTGCTACGGAGTGTCAGCTCTGCAGGGTGGGCGCCCTGTGGGTACCAGCTGCAGCCCTGAACCCAGTGCCCGCTGGGTGGGTGCAGGAGCCTCTGGACCTGGCTGCAGGGTGTTGGTGGGGTCGCCCCACTGTAGTTCAGCAGCCGCCACAATCCCTGCCTCCCAGTGGCCCTCCCATTTGCAGATGCCGAAACTGAAGCTAAGGCGGCTGAGGCTGTGGGTCCAGCGGGTGCCACTACTGTCCCTGCAGGGCTCTTTGATGACCTGCAAGAGCAAGGCCTGGAGGTGGGGCTGGGGCTGACCAAGGCACCACTTAGGGGAGTTTATAACGGGTCTGGCACTTTTTAAAGCTTTGCATTAACTCTACAGTTCTGCCATAGCCCCAGGAAGCAGTGCTGAGTGTCCTTGTTTTACGGGTTAGGAAACTGAGGCACAGAGAAGTGGAGCTAATTCCCAAAATCCAGAGTCGGAAAGTGGCTGAGCAGGGATTTGAACTCCTATTTCACGTAGAGGGCACATGGGCACTCCCTGCACACGCGTCGCAGAGGAGGCGGCCCTAGGGGCGGGGCGGGCCGGGCCGGGCGGAGGGAGGAAGTGTGGGGCAGTCGCAGGGGCTCCCGGGCCGCCGCCGCGAGTCCTCCGTGGGGTCGGGCCATGGAGCCGCCGCTCTACCCGGTGGCCGGGGCCGCGGGGCCGCAGGGCGAAGAGGACCGGCTGGGGGTCCCCGACGGGCCCGAGGCCCCGGTGAGGAGCGGGACGGGGGCGCGAGGGGGCGCGGGGCCGGGGTCTCCGGGCGGGGCGGGCGCGGGCCCCGGGCAGCAGCCCGGTGGTGCAAGCGCGTGCGTGCCCGCAGCTGGACGAGCTGGTGGGCGCCTACCCCAACTACAACGAGGAGGAGGAGGAGCGCCGCTACTACCGCCGCAAGCGCCTCGGCGTGCTCAAGAACGTGCTGGCGGCCAGCGCGGGCGGCACGCTCACCTACGGCGTCTACCTGGGTACGCGGGCGCCCGCCCCGCCCCCGCCGGGAAATGGAGACCGTCGCCGGCCCGCGCTTCCCCTTTCACTTCCCCATCTGCGCTCCCGCGGCTGCAGCTGCGGCCGCCCACGGGGGCGGGGCAGTGTCAAGCGGGGCAGTGTCCCAGGTCCCAGCCAGAGCCTCTGTGTGGCTGGGGGTCTGGGCACCCTGGGCCCCTGCGCCCCCAGGGCCGGCGGAGCAATGCGGGTGGGGGGTCCGCTGAAGCTGCCACTGGCTGGCACACCTGTGACCTCTGTCCTGAGGGGCGCTGGAATCAGGGATCCTTTTGGTGTCTGGAGTTCCCCGCGAGGCTTGCCTTCCGGCCTCTGCTTGGTTGCCCCCAGAGCCAGGCTGCTCCCTCCATGCCCGCTCCCTGCCCCCAGGCCTCCTGCAGATGCAGCTGATCCTGCACTACGATGAGACCTACCGGGAGGTGAAGTACGGAGACATGGGGCTGCCCGACATCGACAGCAAGATGCTGATGGGCATAAACGTGACGCCTATCGCGGCCCTGCTCTACACCCCTGTGCTCATCAGGTGGGGCACAGCTGTCCCCGGGATGGCGGAGCGGTCACTCCCATCTCAAAGGGATGCAGAGGCTGTTGGACCATGAGGTCTCCAGCTGCCCTGGTGTCGCGGCGGGCAGGGAGCCAGGGAGAGGCCTTGGTGACCTGGGAGGGTGAGAGCGAAGGGGGTGAAACCTGGGTTTGGGGAAGGAAACAAGAGCGTTGCCCCGGGACACATTTGGTTTTGAGCAACGGATTCCCACAGGCTCCTTGCCTGGGCTTGTCTGTGCCCCATGTGACGTCCTCCCCTACAGCGCAGAGCCACTGTGACCCTCTGGGCTGGGGCCTGGAGTCTCTGGAGGCTCTCTGATCAGTCAGCGAAGCCCAGGCACACACTCTGCCCCGATCTCCTGTGACTGGTGTGGAGAGGGTATTTCTCACAGAAAGGGGCATGGCTGGGCAGGTGCCCCAGAGGGTCCACTCTAGGCCTGAGCCCTGCAGGCACGTGGCACAGCCTGCCTGCTAGAGCAAAAATCCCTTCCACAGCACCCTCTCGGACAGGACCCAGTGGACAAATTGGGTGGGCGTTAGTTACCCCATTTATTTACTTGTTAATCTCCTTTATCACAATTGTACAAACAGCGTTAGAATCATCATAATTGAAACCAGAAAAAGGATAAGCTCTCCAGTAAATCGGCCACCTCTGCTGTCCCACCTCTGCTGTTACCTGTAAATGGACAGCATTTACATCCTTGTCACCAGAGCGTGTGTGAGCATGTGTGTGCAACGCTCACTCTGGCTTTTTCTTCTCTTCGCCTATCTTAGCCTGCGCAGCCCTTGCAGTCAGGGCTTCTGCAATGGCAGCGTCTTCTGCACACGCGGAAGCGCTGAGCTCTGGCTCAGAGTTGGAAGTCACAGCTCCCTCTGTGCTTGTAGCTGTTTCCTTCTTTTGAAAATAAATTGTTAAAGATTCGTAGGATAAATTCTCCACAGTGCCCTTACCAGGTCAAAGGCATAGGAAAGGATTTATGGCTCCTGAAAACTATCACTTTTAGTAATAACAGCTAACCCTTATTTTGCTTCCTATGTGCTGAGTACTTTATAAGTGCAATTTCATTCCCAACAATCCGAGGCAGATGCTCTAATTTTATACGTGAAGAAACCATGAGGTTAAACACCTGTCCAAGTCCCACAGGCAGTAGCTGGGGAACTGAAGGTTTGAACCCCGGCCGAGTGACTCAAACCCACCTGTTCACCCCCTGCCAAAACTATCAGGCTGATTTGCCAAAGGGTTATGCCAATCTGCGTGACCACTGGCTATAGGTGTCATTTTTTTAAACCAGTCCTCACCAGCACTGAATGAGCATTTTTACTGGCATTTTACTTTTTGCTGTTTTGCTCCATGCAAATGTACAGTGCATTTTATGACCCAGATCAGAGGAGGCTGCCTAGCTAGCTACGTAGTATATGGCAAAATCAGGATCATGAAAGAACCAGGGCCGTGGGATAGAAGAGAAAGTAGCAAAAAATCAGGGTCATTCACATTTGAGCTTCCTGGAAGTTGAGACAAAGAAAGCAACTAATGAGCACAAATTAAGACCTGAAGATGCCAGAAGAGTTTTTTCACCTGACCAGCCTCCATGCTCTGGCCCTTATCCTGTCAGTCACCAAGGCCCTTCCACTGTCACTGTGTGACCTTTTCCTAGACCCAGAGAGGAGGAAACTTCCCAACCGACCACAGGAGCAATGGACAGGGAGGCAGGGGTGTGGGGGCTCCAGCTTGCTGCTCCCAGCAGGGAGGCCTCTTTCTCTCTCTTCTCTCAGCCTGAATCAAGGCCCTGGGATGTGTCCCTGGGCCCAAAGGTCACAGCACATGAGCTTGGAGAATGGGAGAGTCAGCCCAGAACACAGTAGCTGGGATCAGAGGCATGAGGGCTAGATGTGCCCATGGGCCACCGTGCCCATATTACAGCTGTGAAAACTGAGGCATATGGACAGAGTGTCTCATCTGAGGCCACTCAGCAAGTCTGTATCTCTGAGACTCCATCTTGGAGCCCTTGATTCCAGGGCCAGGGGTCTCTCCCTACCTCACATAGCCTTGGGAGCTGGGACCTGGGGTTGTCACCCCATTGGGTTCCAGGCCATTGGCAGTCTGGTATAACCACGGTGCCAGCGTCCCTCCCATTGTCCACAGGTTTTTTGGCACCAAGTGGATGATGTTCCTGGCCGTGGGCATCTATGCCCTCTTTGTCTCCACCAACTACTGGGAGCGCTACTACACGCTTGTGCCCTCAGCTGTGGCCCTGGGCATGGCCATCGTGCCTCTTTGGGCCTCCATGGGCAACTACATCACCAGGTGAGCTTGGTGGGCAGCGGAGCAGAAGGCTGGAGACCTGGTCAAGTCTCTGCTGTATTGCCAACGTTGGCTGGAGGACCTCGGGTCAGCCCCTTCCGCCCTCTGGGCCTCAGTTTCCCCACCTGTGAGACACTGGGGCTGGCCAACCCGTAGCTCGGGTCCAGGAAGTGGCCGCATGGCAGTGGCCAGAGCTGGGGAGAGCCTTCTCTCCTTTGCGGTCCAGGATGGCGCAGAAGTACTACGAGTACTCCCACTACAAGGAGCAGGATGAGCAGCGGCCTCAGCAGCGTCCGCCGCGGGGCTCCCATGCGCCCTATCTCCTGGTCTTCCAAGCCATCTTCTACAGCTTCTTCCATGTGAGTGCTGGTGGGCCCTTTGTGGGGGGCCACACACATTGGAGCCCATTCCACAGTCTCAGCCCTCTAGTCCTGCCTTCTTTCCTCCCTTCCTTCCTTCAATAGAGACAGGGTCTCACCATGTTGCCTAGGCTAGCCTTGAACTCCTGGGTTCAGGCAATCCTGCCTCAGCCTCCCAAGTAGCTGGGACTAGAGGCATGTGCCACCCCGCCCAGCCCCACCTTTCTGGAGCTAGCCCCAGCCTGCTCGCCCATAGCCAGTGAGACCTCATCTGGCATCCCCCTCATCAGGCCCCCAGGAAGTAGGAGGGCTCCTTTTCCCCAGGGTTGTACCCAGACTATGCCAGTGTCTCCTGCCTGGGCCTGTGCCTGAGTCTGGCCCCAACTGCCTCCCTGTCCACAGCTGAGCTTCGCCTGCGCCCAGCTGCCCATGATTTATTTCCTGAACCACTACCTGTACGACCTGAACCACACGCTGTTCAACGTGCAGAGCTGCGGTTAGTCTTCATGGGGGTGGAGGGGCCCCCAAAGCCTCCTCTATTCAGTCATTCGGCGACACTGGGCCCTCACAGGGTTCAGGGCTGAGAGCCCAGCATCCCACAGCTCTGGTGGGCAAGGCACAGGGCCCCGTAGGAGTATGTAGTTAAGACATCTAACCCAGCCTGGGGCGGGAGGGTGAGAGGGCAGGAAAGGCTGCCTGGAGGAGGTGCCATCTGGGCTGAGGCTGCCAGTGGGATCTCTCTTGGGGCCAGGCCATCAGAGCTCAGTCAGTGCAGGGTGAGCGTATGGAGCTGTGAGGTCGACTGGTGTCCCCCCAGTCTCAGGGCAATACAGTGGGCAGGGAGGGAGAGATGCTCCCCTCCTGGGGCACACCCAGCACCAGCGGCCCTAACCTGCGAACTCCTCCTCAGAGGAAGCACACATGACCCGCCCCCTCCACCCCACCTCCGCTGCCGCCTCTCCTCGCTGCATTTCCCCGTGGCTGGGTTGACAGTGTTCCCCACTCCTGCCCCCCTCCCAGGCACTAACAGCCATGGCATCCTCACCGGCTTCAACAAGACGGTTCTGCGGACACTACCGCGGAGCCGAAACCTCATCGTGGTGGAGAGCGTGCTCATGGCGGTGGCCTTCCTGGCCATGCTGCTGGTGCGGCCCGCAATGGGGATGGGACGGAGTCAGCGAGGCAGAGCGGGACTCTGGAGAAAGGGTCTGGGCCTGCAGGCGTGGCCCAGGCAGGGTTCGGGCCTCCGGACGGGCCTTAGGCCTGGAGGCGCCGTCTGGCGAGGGGGCCGGGGCAGGGGCCTGAGGCTCGGAGGCGAGGCTGATGCCTGCAGACCGAGGCCCGAGTTGGAACCAGAGGCCAGCGGGAGGGGGCTAGGCCTGGTTCCCAGCGTGGTGCTGGAGACAAGGTCCTAGGGGACCGACTGAGACCTGAGTGAGGGTTGGGGACGGTCAAGGGCTGGAAGGTGTGGCTCCAACCCGAGGCCGTACTGGGAGGCAGAATTAAGGCGTCGGGGATGTGGGGGCGGCTATTGGTGCGTCTGATGGGCGGGGCCTTGGGCTGGAAGGCAGGGCTAAGGCAAGGCCCAGCCGGGCTTCTGGGTGGGCCTGAGGGGCGGGGCCTCGGACTGGGGGCGGGGCTGAGGCAAGGCCAAGGTCTTTGGATGTGTCTGCGGGGCGGGGCTGAAGCCCGGGGGCGGGGCCTGGCCGGCCGCCCCTTCATGGTGTGGGTCCGCAGGTGCTGGGCTTGTGCGGCGCCGCTTATCGGCCCACCGAGGAGATCGATCTGCGCAGCGTGGGCTGGGGCAACATCTTCCAGCTGCCCTTCAAGCACGTGCGTGACTTCCGCCTGCGCCACCTCGTGCCCTTCTTTATTTACAGCGGCTTTGAGGTGCTTTTTGCCTGCACTGGCATCGCCCTGGTAAGTACAGCCTCCAGCGGGTTGCCAGATAAAAGACAGGATGTCCAGTTAAACTTGAATTTCAGATAAACAACGAACAAATTCTAATTCTATGTATAAGTATGTACAAGTATGTCCCAAACATTCTTCTCCCTCTTCCTCTTCCCTCTCTTGCCCCCATTCCTCCTTTACCTTGGGCAAGGTATTTTAACCTCTCTGAAGGTGAAATGGGATAACAGCCATAAAGCATTTGGTTCACAGGGAGTACAGCCCTTGATGTCAAGGGACACAGTCCAAGAATTTTCACATTGTCTGTGCCCTTGGAGCCTTGGAGGGAGTTAGCACCCAGTGGTCCAGAGAGGGCAGGGTGTGGCCTAAGTGACACCTCACATGGGGAGGGCCAGAGCCTCAGCTGTCTGACCTCCAGTGCTCGTCCCTGTCCCCTTAGGGCTATGGCGTGTGCTCCGTGGGGCTGGAACGGCTGGCCTACCTCCTCGTGGCTTACAGCCTGGGTGCCTCAGCTGCCTCAGTCCTGGGCCTGCTGGGGCTGTGGCTGCCACGGCCTGTGCCCCTGGTGGCTGGGGCGGGGCTGCACCTGCTGCTCACACTCAGCCTCTTTTTCTGGGCCCCTGTGCCTCGGGTCTTGCACCACAGCTGGATCCTATACGTGGCAGCCGCCCTCTGGGGTGTGGGCAGTGCCCTCAACAAGACTGGACTCAGCAGTGAGTATAGCTATGGGCACTGGGGTGGCTGGGCAGGGGCCTTATGGCCACCTCTGGGCGGCTGGTGGGGTATAGACATCTCAGGGACAGACATGGGATCCCATGGACACACAAGGGGTCTGCTGTGGGGTCCTGTGGACGTGGCAAAGGTGGGTGGGGATTTCTGTGGACACGCCAGGGGTGGAAGAAAGTCCTGTGGACATTGTGCGGACAGATGGGTAGGGCTATGGACACCTTGGAGGCAGGTATAGGAGTTCCATGCTGTGGAGGTTCTGTTGACACTCCAGGATGGCCATGGGGCCCTATGGACACTGGGGGGTCAGTGTGAGATCTTGTGATACATAGGGTGAGTATGGGGCTCTGTGGACACCCCTTAGGGACAATGTGAAAAAAACACCTCAGGGATCTCTCCTTTTCATACTAGGGGACAGGGCCTACCTTGGCATAGTTTTCATGACACTGGGAGCAGATGTCGGGGTCTCTGCTCCAGGGAGCATGGGTAGCAGCAGGTGGCCCTGTCCACACCCCAGGGCATAGGCGCAGATATGGGCCTTTTTATAGAGAGGAGCCAGGAGCAGGCATGAAGTCCCAGCCCAGTACCAGAGTCCAGACCCCAAGTTTGGGCTGCTGGGGAACCGGCCTGTTTGCAGAAGGTGGGGGTGGGCCCCAGTTCAGTTGTGTGATGCTCTCTGCCTGCAGGTGGGCACGTGCCAATGACGTGAAGCTGGTGCACACAGGTGCAGCCATGTGGGGCATCCACATGGGCATCTGTTCTGATGGGCCAGTGCTGTTAACAGTTTTGAATGTCACCCCTGGGGTGTGGAGTGGTGGAGGTCGTGCCTGCTGCAGGGGCTGGCTCAGGTGACCCCTGCACCCACCATCTGAGAGACAGTCAGGCGTCTCTGTCTGTTGTAGGGGATGGTGCCCCACACTCTGGACCATGCTCTCTTGGCCCTTTTGCTCAAGGGCAGCCAACACTGGGGAGAGTCCAGCCTGGGTATCCTGGGCCCATGTTGCATGTGGACTGGGCCTAGTCCCAGCATCCCCTCTGCCCAGCTTCACGTCCTGTCTCCTCCTTGTTGACCCCAGGAGTTCTGCGTCCCTTCACAGCAGCACTGTGGGGTACAGTCACACTGCAGGGCCCCAGGACAGGGGTGTTAATGTCCCAAGTGCCTGGCGAAGGTGTTATTGCCAGCTTGCACAATTCACCGGGTACTGTGCAGACTTTCTCACTCTAGAATTTCATAACACAACATACAATATATGTAAGCTCATTTCACAGTCAGGAAGGGTGGCTCTGGGAGTTAACTTACCCTGAGTCACCTGCAGAGCCAGTATTTGAACCCACATGTGTACCTAAACTCTCAGCTCTCTGCAATGTATAGTCCTAAGAACAAGTCTGTCTCTCCTGACTTCCTGTCCAGTGCTCGTTCTGCCCGCTCTGGGGAGGATTCTTGGGGAAACAAGTCCCCCTCCTTCCCACACTTAGCTTCAGATGTGATTGGCAGAAAGTTCGTTGCTGCAAACAGTTTGCCCTCCCTAACCCTGGCTGAGGAGAAACAGCCCCTGCATGCTTGGCACTGCGAGCCTGGGGCCAGGGACCGGACATGACTGAGCACAGAGCTTTCTTCTTTTGGGGCCACACATGTGTCCCAGAGTGAGAGCCACCTACATGCACACAGCCAGGCTTCCCTGCTCTTACCTGTGCTTCGCGTCAGGGCAGCGTGGTAACCAGGGGCTCCGCTAGGGGGCGGGCCAGGACCAGCTTACCGCGCTCCCTTGGCGCTCTCCTGCCCTGGGCTGGGACCAGCGCTGGGCCTAGGGGAGTTGCAGGTGGGACATCAGCAGCCTCAGGCCCCAGGTGACACCTCTCCCTTGCATGCCCTGTCCCACTTGCCTGCAGCACTCTTGGGAATCCTGTATGAGGACAAGGAGAGGCAGGACTTCATCTTCACCATCTACCACTGGTGGCAGGCCGTGGCCATCTTCATCGTGTACCTGGGCTCCAGCCTGCCCATGAAGGTGAGGCTAGGTGGGGTTAGGGGGTCCCAGGCCCCACCCCCAAGAAACAGGTACTTTCTGAGCACCCACCCTGGCTTCACAGCCTCTTTAAGAGCACCATGTCCCAAAGGCCATGCCCTATTCCCCCAGCCCACTGGGTGGCGCCCAACCCAGCACCCCACTTACTGCCTCACTTCCTGCCAGCCTCGGTTTACCCATCTCTGAGGGGGTTCGCAGTTTGCCCTTTCCTTATGGGTGCATCCCACCTGCCCTGTTCACCAGACGTTGGGCTGGCACTGGATGCCCAGGGTCTGTCTCCCTCCGTGGCCCGCAGGGCAGTGGGTTCCTTGTGCTCTGCTCCCCAACAGTGGTGGGTCAGTTTGGCAGGTCTCGACCAGCATTTTTAAAAAATGAAATATTATAGAAAATAGGGCGTATGCACGAAGATATGGACTGAGTTATGATGTACAATTTCCGACTGTGGGTTACAGTCAAAAATGTCTAAAAAGCATTGCTATGGTCCCCTGGTGTTTAAGGGACACAGAGTCGTCTAAGGGCTGCACAGGAGGGCGAGGCCCGGACCGCACTTTATCAACATGTGCACATCTTCCCTATGAAGCAAGGGGATTATCACTCTCCCCTCTTACAGAGAGCGAAACTGAGGTCCCCAGGGGCGACTGCCGGGGGCAGTGCTGGGATTTGAGCCTTGCCTGCAGGAGGGGCCCAGGAGGCGTGGGTGGAGGGAGTTGGGGAGTCCAGGGCCAGGTGGTCGGGAAGGCTCCCGAGGAGGGAAGGGCGGCGGAGAAGCAGCTGGGGGTGCGAGGCGGGGATGGGAGTGGGCCTGTCCTGGCGCGGGGTGAGGCGGCCCGCTGGTCCCCTGCATCCCTCCCCTTGCGCCCAGGCTAAGCTAATGGTGCTGCTGGTGACGCTGGTGGCGGCCGCGGCCTCGTACCTGCGGATGGAGCAGAAGCTGTGGCGGGGCGTGGTCCCGCGCCAGCCCCGCATCCCGCGGCCGCAGCACAAGGTGCGCGGCTACCGCTACCTGGAGGAGGACAACTCCGACGAGAGCGACGCGGAGGACGAGCGCGGCGGTGGCGGCCGGGGAGACGGCGCGGAGGAGGAGGCGCCGCCCGCTGGGCCCCGGCCCGGCCCCGAGCCCGCCGGCCTGCACCGCCGGCCCTGCCCCTACGAGCAGGCGCTGGGGGGCGACGGGCCCGAGGAGCAGTGAGGGGCGGCCCGGGCCGGCCCGCAGGTCAGGTCGGGGCCTCTGCGAGCCCTGCACTGTCTTCGGGAAGGACCCTCTGTCCCGCCCAGGGAACGCCCCTCCAAGGCCCAGGGTCACCTGGAACTTCCGCAGCCCCCTGCAGGGCGGGGCGGGGCCTGGAGACCCGGGCCAGGCCCAGGGTTGGAAAGCGCACCCGAAACCCCAGGGGCCGTCCCCAGCGCGCGCCCAGCCCTGGAGGGGCCAGGATCTCCCCTGCAGCGGGCGCCCCAGTCCCGCCCGCGCACTGGCCCGGACGCGGGTGATGCGCACTTTGCACCTTCTATGCCCAAGGTCCGCCGAGAGCCTCGACTTTTTATAGAAAATGAGCAATAAAGAGATTTTGTATTGTCCTGACTGGGGAGTCTCAGGCCGTGGGGGGCGGAGAGCACCTGGCGTGTGTGCCTGGCAGACCAGGCTGCTGGGACACCGTCGTAGGAGGTCTTGACCGCTCAGAACGACCAGAGGTGGGGGCTCGGCCCCCCTGCTGGGGCGGAGTGTCCCTGAGGCCCGTCCTCCCCACACCGCCTGCCTTGCCGGCCCCACCACATCCACCCTGGAGAAAGAAGCGGCTGGAGTGGCTTGCGGGGACCTCAGCGCAGGAGAGTGTGACTGGCTGCTACTCCCTTGTGGGTCTAGAGAAAGGGACAGACTCCAGACGCCCAGGCCCAGATGACACCGCCCCCCAACCCCCTACAGATGACCTGCACAAGCATCCCCAGCCCTCCCGATGTCCCCCATCGTTTTTTGTCTATTTGGGCATTTATGCCACAGCTCTCCAAGTGCCACCTTTAGAGGCAGGGCCCACTTCTGAGCCACGTTGGGGTCAGCCCGTGCCCCAGTATAGGCCTGGGAAATGGTCGCTGGAGTCCAGGTAAACTTGGTTTCCGCCCTTTCCAGCCTGCAGCCTTGGCCACCATGCCCATGAGAAACACAGAGGCTGGACAAGGGGACAGACCCCTTCTGAGGGCCAAAGGGGCCCTTTCCCCAGCCCTTTTCTGTCCAGAGGAGACTGAGACCCTATTGAGAAGAGCTCTGAACAGTTGAGTGAGGACAGGCAAGGGGGCCATTCAAGGGTAATGGAGCCCCCACTGTACCCCAAAGGGTCCTCTGCTGGGGCAGGTCCTCTGTGGGGACTTGTCTTCCGCTGGGGCACACCCTTCTTCACTGCCCCTCGATCCCTGGCTGAAGGCCAGACCCTTGTCCCTACCCGGAGGCTCCACACTCACTCACCGAGTCCCACAGATTCTCAACCACGGCCCCTCTCTCCTCTGCCCTCACTAGAGCTCAGTTCTAGCAGCCTCTGGTGGGCCCTGGAACCAGGCTGTGACCTTGGGCAAGGCATCGACCATCTGAGCCACAAGTTCCTTCTCTGTAAAGTGTATCTTCGTAAAAGAGAAGACATGTGTTGGGCCCCTTAGCATGGTGACTCCAAGGTCCCAGACCCAGTATGGAAACTCATGAGGGTGCAGCAGATTTTGAATTTTCTATTTAATAACTTTTGGAAGGAGAGCTGCCTGCCTCATACACTGACTTCAGGGACAGAAATGCTCACGTGGTGAAGCACCAGCTCTGTCCTTCCAGTTCCCCATCAGCGTCTGGGGGAAACTCCCCTGGAGGCTGATGTGGCAGCATCCTGTGGCAGGCGTCCAGCCACACTCCAGGTGGGCAACCGATGCTCAGATGCCAAGCCTCTGAACACAGGGCGAGGTGTTATTTGGAAGGCTGCGGCCCCTGGGAGTGCGGGGCAAATGTGGGGCGGAGGGAGCCTGGACAATGGGTCTACAATTTGTCACAGTTCCAAGCCATTTCTAACATCTGTCGTGCTAATGGCCAAAGACTCATGTTGAAAAGACCCGAAGGCAGCGCAGGCAGGCAGAGTGGCCACTCGAGCCTCTTAGCAGGCGTGTCTCCACGAGAAGGCTTCACATGCCATCTGGCTGCTCCTGGCACGTGGATGATACCCACACACTCACATATGCCGGGCAACACATGACAGGCCACGCACATGACAGGCACCACATGATGCAGTAGGCAACACATGTGCACACACCTGGCAGGCAGCACACGGCACAGGCAGGGCAGCAGGGCAGGCAGCAAGCCCCAGCAGCCTGGCTCCTCAGGCAGAGGTAACTGAGTCATCAGGTGAGAATGCCAGTCTCTTAGTCTTACTGTAAGTGATGACATTGACATTGGTGTCATCTCCCCTGTCTCCGTCACCCCTGGATAAGGGGACCAGGTGGAGGTTCTGGATCCCTGAGTGGAAGATCAGACTATGCCACAGCCTCTGCCTCTGAGAGCCACCATTGCTCCCAAAGTAACTCCATGATTTCGTCAACCTTTACTATGGAGATTTAAAACCTTTATGATTCCAGGAATCTCCAGTCCAAGATTTTAACTATTTTAAAAATCTCAGTAGCAGATTAAATAACTTGAAAAATTTCCTTCTTCAAAACACCTAGAAAAGCCGAAAAAGAAACAGACTTCCTTTTAAATATACAGCTGAGCTCTCAAGAAAATAAGCGGAAGTCCCCCAGGGCTAAAAATAAAGAGAGAACCGAGAACCAGGGTGGGGACTGAGAAGCTGATGCTGCGGCTGCCTGAGGGGTGGGGGCCGGGCTGGGCTGGTCAAGGCCATGCCAGGCTTGGTGGAGGCCTGGGATCCCCTACCAGGCAGGGAGCTGGTTTGAAGTCCATGCACAAAAAAAACTCGCACCCAGAGGAACAGAAAGATGGAATGAAACTTGAGCTCTGGGTGGGGAACAAGTTTGCCAGATGAGTTTTGCATTTTCAGGCCTACCTGTACGTGTTTGGAATTCTTACGAAGGAGTCACACCATCTGTACAGTCTAGGAACCCCAAAGTTGAGAAATTAACATTGAAAACTAGTCTTGTCTTAGTGATTCCCCTGGGGCTCCTGGCCAACCAAACAGAAGACCTCTCTGGATGGATCCCTTAAGCCTAGTCACCCATGATCGCCCAGATAATGCCCCTGTGAAGCTGAGCTCACAGTCCCAAATTACAGAACACACAAGGAAGCAAATCAATTGTAAATAAAGGACAGCAGACACACAATGGGGCAAGATTGGACACCCCCTTCCACGCCTCCCCCAACTGTCAGAGAGAGGCTGTCCAGTAGATGTGTGCAGTAGACAGCTTCTAGAAGGGCTCCTGGTAATCTCTGACCTTTAGCCCTTCATGCCTCTGTCTAATCTCCACCCCTTGATTGTGGCTGGACCTGGTGAGTTTCTTTTAACAAATTGAATCTAAGCTGGCCTCCAAGATTCTTGCTCGCTAGTGTACACCCCATGAGTGAGTACGATGGCATATCATTCTAGTGCCTTGGAGCTAATCAAAAGGGACATTACCTGCGTGGACCTGATCCAATTAGGTGAGTCTTTTAAAAGAAGGGGACATGCCAGAGAGGGCCTCTCCTGCTGGCTTGCAGCAGGACAAGCCACAGTGGTGTGCCCTGACAGGAGGCCTCCAGGAGCTGAGAGTGACATGGTCCCCAGTGGACAGCCAGCAAGGAAACGAGGACCTTGATGCTACAACTTAGGTGACTAAATTCTGCCAACAACCAGAATGAGTGTGGAAGAGGACGCAAAGCCCCAAATGAGAACCCAGCCCGGCCCACACTTTGACTGCGGCCTTGCGAGGCCCTCAGCTACGCCATGCTAGAGTCCTGACCCACATCGACTTCAAGACAATAAATTAGTGTCGTTGCAAGCTTCTGAACTACTGGCAATTTGTTACATAGCAACAGAAAACTAATACAATGACAAAAGTAATGGGGTGTCACTCCTGAGGGTGGGTTACAAGTGTGAGTTGTTAGGAGTCTGAGCTGTATTGCTCACACTTTTTCTGGTGTGCTTGTTTGCTCCAATGACGCCAGCTGCCACCCTGTGACCTGCCCAATGGAGAGCCCGCATGGCAAGTAGCTGACAGTGGTGTAGGCAACAGCCTACGAGGAATGAGGTCCTCATTCCAACAACCCACCAGCAACCATGGGCATGAACTTGGAAGCAGACTGCGCACTGCCGAGCCCAGGCCAGCACCTTGGCTGCAGTCTTTGAGAACCCAGGCATGGAGTGTTATTTGCCAGGCATCCCTGGCCTCTCTAGGAATTTATGAATGTTGGGACAAATGACACATCGTTTTCAAGGGACACAAAATAAAATTTATTAATCACATAGTAAGCAGCAAAAGGACTGGCCAAGGAGAAGGGCCCAGGTTGGGTCTGGAAGGAAACAAGAGTGAGTAGGGAGGGTGGCTTTGGGTTTTCATTTGGTTGGTGGTGGGGCCAAGGTGAGGGTGCCACGTGCAGCCTGGGGTTGGCAGAATTTGAAATTTCTGCCAATGCCAAAGGACTGACCCATGGTAGAATGTACATGAACCTTGAAAACATGCTCAGTGAAAGAAGCCAGTCACACAGGCCACATATTGTGAGAATACAGTATGTAATGAATATACAGCATACACAAAGGTGTTAATCAGCTGTTTATACTATCAGTAGGGCTTCTGGGCAATGACAGTGTATTAGTGTTGGGAAAATAGCCTAGAGATGTGAAAGGTTTCAGGAGTTTTGCAGGACTCTGTGGACATGTTAGTTCACAGAATAGAAGCTGCTTCCAACAAAGACAGGCGTTGTCAGAGGACGTTTGCAAAGCAACATGTCTTCTTTGCTGCTGGTCATCGCCTTGAGTTTTTTTGCAAGACAGAAGCTCGGTTTGGGTCCTTGGTGGAGAAGCTGATTAAAATGCCTGCCCAGCGGATAACGTGCAGCTGGAACTATGCTAGACTTCAAGGCTATTCCTGCTTCACTGCTGACTACATGTCTCTGTGTTTAGAAGAAGTAGATTAGAGTAGTACACAGACTCAATGTTCTCATTTTATACATTTTATCTTTAATTTGTATGCTCAGCTAGGTCTGTTTCTAACTTAGGGCTTAACATACTTATCTTAGAAAAATTTTGTAACCATCTATTCTTGTAGAGAGAATTAGGTAAGGTTCCCCTGGAAACCTCAAAAAATGAGCTGTACACATAATTCTTTAACGAAAGACGACTATTTGCTCTAACAATAAATACTGATGTATTTCAGTCGGGGTATCACAGCTCACGGGAATGCTGGAGGACCCCTGACTCCCCCATCACTTTAAACTGCACTTTGTTTCCATCTCAATCATTTCTCCATCTATATTTATTTCCTATTATTTTCAAATCCCTTGTGACAATCCTGCCTTGGGCCTGTTTTGCTGGGAGAATAGCTAACTCCCGGCATATTAGTAGTTACGTTTCAGGGGAGTCAAAAGTCATGTGTGGATTTTCGACTGCAGAGGGGATTGGGCCCCTCCCC